TGTTTTTCCACGTGGACGTATTCTTGGAAAATTATTTATTCCAATAGATAGAAAATTGAATTCTCCTACGTATACTCCCTAAATTTTCTTAAGTGGAAAATGGCACTTCTCATTTCCTAGTAGGTGGAAAACTATGTTCTCTTACGTAACCCCCCTGAATTTTCTTAGATGGGAAATGACAGTTCCCATTTTCCAGTAGATGGAAAACTATATTCTCCTACGTAATCTCCGCGAATTTTTTTAGGCAGGAAAATGGCAATCCCCATTTTCCAGCAGGTGGAAAACTCCCCCCCCAATATTCTTAAATAGGAAATGGATTTTCCATTTTCCAGTAGGTGGAAAATTTCCAACATCCTCGAGGACGTGATCAATGTTTTTCAATATTGCAAAATCAAATCCCGCGGCGTATTGTTAAAAGGATAAGCAAACGGGCAACGTAAACGCTTCCCAAAGGTATTCCGGACAAAGTGCTTCATTGAGGAAGAAAGGACGAGAGAGTATGCGTTTGACTGGCGATGCTACTCCGGGGTAAAAAAAAAGAAAGAAAAAAACACGACGCCAGGTGCATGTTTCGAGGCACTTTACAGCATACGCGGGCAACAGCACGCGTGCACCACGGCACGAGTCCCTCGAACACCCGACAGGCAGATGTTTCGCCTCTTGGGAGGCTTTAATGCCGCCCCACCCCAACCTCCAATGTATTTCTCTTCCTACGAGCCAGCGGCCGCCCTCGAACGCGAACCTCTCGGAAAAGAAACATTCTATGCGTTTCGTTTCGGTTTCTCTCGTTCGGTTGCATCTTTTTATAGCAATACTTTCCCCTTGTCATTACAAACGTAAGATTCCGAATCTGTGGGTTTGTTCCAATGCTTCGATCTAATATAAAACGCATGCCCCGGTGAGGCCCTGATTTGTCGAAGAAAATGCAAATGTTAAGTAGAATGGAGTCAGCCAGTAGTCAGCCAGTACCCAAAGTCTTGGAATAATTATCGCGAATACTTTGAGGATTGGAACACGACGGTGGTGAGAATTGTACCTATCCGCCGCCGTCGCGAAAAACAAACGCCTTTTCACCGAGTTCGCGCCCTCGATAAATCCTCAGCGGAGACTCCCATTGTCTTACGCCGACAAGCGTCGTTTGACTCCGACGCGTCCATAAGGAAGGGAGGAACAATGAAGACGGCGAAGGGTTGAAAGAGATAGTCTAGCAGGGGCCACTCGTTCGTTTATACGAAGACAAAACCCTCAGACGCGTAGGCTTCAGGTGGAGTGCATCAGCTGCCACTTGGACACGCGCCATAGAAGCCTTCGCTGTGTCGCCTCCTTCTTTTTCCCCTTTCTCCGCGGCGCTTCCTTCCTTCCTTCCTTTCTTTTGCCTTTCTTGCAGACATACATGTCCGCGAAGCTCTCTCGCACGGAATAGACGCGACGGGGATGGGTACTGCTACACTATGCCGTTAGGAGAAATTGTTGTTTACTGCCGGTGACTGCTGATGCTTGGGAGCACTTGCAGGGTTCAGAGACTCTGCAACCTCCTCAAGCTTCACAAGTTCCAGGGGACTATTGTTCTTGATGATTTTTTAAGACTCGGGAACTGCGTTTGGAAGTTCAAGAAACTTTTTATGGGTTCGTAGTCCTTTGTGGCTTTTAACGTTTGGGGCAGTTGTAGAGTTCAGAGAGTCTGCAACCTCCTCAAGCTTCACCAGATCTAGAGCACTATCGTTCTTCAGGATTTGAGGGGACTCAAAAGCTGTATTTGGTCATTCGAGAGACTTTATAGGTTCACAGTCTTCGGTAATTAATATTATTTGGAACGTAAGAGGCAAGGGTTCATCGTTTGGAAGTGTTCGTGGTCGCGTTTAAGTAACCTGAGCTATTTCGAGGCGTACCTTGGCGCGGACCTAGGAGAAGTATTTTTCAGACGAGAACACTGGTGTCATTCGGCGATATTTAATTTCAGGAAGGCGTACCGACGGCTTCAAGAGTCGCTGCTCATCGAAGCCACCAGGAAACCGACGAGCCGCTTCTCGTCGTTTTTCGCCAAGTCGTGGCTCGTTACGCGCGCCGCGAGATTAACGTCGCGTAATTAAATGGCGCCGAGGTTCACGGCTCGGTCGTAGGGATGGCTTCGAGTTCGATAAGTGCTCGCGAACAGGGCTGAAAAAATTTAATCAATCATTTTTGCTCGCGAACCAAAATCTCAATATCATTAAGATTTACTTCGCAAATTCGAACACTACTCAATTACTATTAATATAAACTTCAAAATCTGTGTGTTTGGGATTCCCCTGTAACTCCTTCTATTTTCGTTCGATTTAGGTGAAATTTTGGTTGCTTGTTTTTTATATTCTAACGGAAAGTATAGGCTACTAAATTACGAAAATAGTAGATCGGATTACTCGATATTAAATCAGAGTACTCGCAAGACGGTCGACTCCATCGCTAGAGGCGGCAGAGTTCATTGGTGAGCACGCGCATGTCGACTCGGCGAGTTCCTGTTTCGCTCGGAAAGCGCGATTTTCAGACTTTTAAATTTCCTCTCAGATAAAATTTCGGGGGCGGAAAAAAAAAAGAGAATCCTTCGAGAACGTTTTAAAAGGGAAATGCAATCACGTAGTGCTCCAGTGGTCGTTTTGTCTCGCGATGACCGCTTTTGATACCGCCAGAATAATGTACAGGGTGTTTCAGAATTACTGCCGATGAAAAGATTCGACGAGAGCGCGCGCCGAGTTTGGTGAATAGATAACGAACAGTATCAGATCCTTTTTCCCAAACGTTGTACCAACCAATGGAAATTGAAACTGGAAAAGGGAAAAAGTCTGTAGATTGGGGGAGGCATCGAATAAAAAGATTCGTTTTTAATAACCGTCATAAAACTGTGAATTTTTTCCCACCAAAAGCATTATTTCGCCCGTCTCCCAACAACCTAACCTGAAATATACCTGTTTCTGTATTACAACCGCGAGAGTACATAAACAAAAACTTCCAAGATGGCCGCAAAAAAATTTCATTAACGTGCCCCACCGCCCGAAACAAACAAGCTTTACCGCGTACATTTCCAACCTGATCGTTATTCACCAAACGCCTACAATTTCTAATTATTCAACGAGTCCGACTATTACGCTAATTAGAAGTTAATTTAACGTCTCTCGCTCACGAAATATTAGAAATTGACTGCAGTTTTTATCGATACTGTTTGGAATGAAATTAAATATGGCGATCGAGGTCGCGTGACTTCTGTTTGCTTTATTTCTCGCGAATCCGTTAAAATTGCGCTTTTTTGTTCGCCGAGCGAGATGTTGTCCGTCGACAACAACAAGAAGAAAAGATAAAAATGAAAAAGAACGGGCAAATCCACCGTTCGACTTGTCGTAAGAAAACGGTCCCAATTAGAGCTGAAAACTTGAGCGCGCGAGCGCACGCGACTGCATTATTCATGGGCTCGTCTCGCTGTTACGCTGATAACAATGTAGCTCGACGTTAAAAAAAAAAACAAAAAAAAAAAAAGAAACCAACATCGCGAGATTCACCCGTTCGCCGCGATTTTCCACCGGTTTTTCTTCGTGCTCGAGATATTCGATGCTCGGTTGCGTGCCACGGGCAAGAGAGGAAATTATTTCGCGAGGAGGAGGGGTTCAGCGGAGTCTAACACACTGCCGCGCACCGTTAATGGCAATCAACGGTTGTTAATTGCTCGATGATAATTAGTCGGGACGCTACGGTCCCGCAGTAATGGAGCACGGTTTAATAATTCCTTTAATGAATTCGAGACACCGCGGTCTTTTCCGAACGATGGAGGAGCCAACGAACCACCGTTCCTCCTTGATAATTCTCGTAAGATGCGAATCTAAACAAGCTTTGTTATGGTTTGCCTGAATTTTGAAGATTTCAACGACTAAGAGTGTCTAATAGCATTGAATCAGCCTTTGCTCCGTGATAGGTACAGGCGAGATGTTGTGGCTGTTCAAGGTCACCGATCAGGTTACCCCCTCCATGCTCCTTAGGTGTCACGTGATCGTCTCATTTTTCTTTGGTATTGTTTATTTTATGAGAAATAACCACTATTTATAGTATGGCAAATTTGGCTCAATAAATATTGCAAGACAGTAAGAAGAAATTAAACATAGTAAATTACATTCATAAAGTGCTCAAATTTGATTGGGAGCAGTTACCAAACAGTGACTTTGAACAACCAATACTTTCTGCCACTACATAGCCATTCTCACAATACTTCTGTAGAAAAATTTATAGACCATTGAGATTAATTATTTTACTATTTATGATTTCATTAAAAACTGAGATATTTGTTGCTTTTCTCAAGAATAATCTTTACTCGATCTTTCCTCGCCGTTTGCAAACGTAAAGTTTCCCGAATATTTCTTCGTATTGCGAAAGACGATTTACTGCAGTCAGTGCGTGGGAACGCGGTCTGCGCTCGAAAGATACTCCGCTCCCTTTTATGCATATAATTAACGCGAATAAGTTGCAGTGGAATCGCTCGAGGAGCGTTCCTCGGATTAAAAATTTCCATAAAATAGCCGGAAGCCGTCTGCGTAACTCGAAACATGCAGCGCCTAGCTCGAAACGACCGTACAACCCGGAAGTTACTACAAATTAGGACATACATTGTTACAAGACATGAAAAATTAATTACGAAGTTGCGATTTTATTTACGCGCTTTTAATAACTCGCTCGATAAAGCCAGTCAAGTAAAGAGCTTTTCGATTTCTTTCTGCACGACGAATTCATTCTGATAAAGAATTCCACGTTTTTCCCGAACAGTAGTGCCAACTTAAACTTAAACGCAGTCTAGAATTAGGTTTCCAGAATTGCAATCCCAATTATTAGTTTATTTCTTTTGGAAATTCAATCCGAAAGATATTTTAGACACTAAGAGTTAGATTTTACCTTATACCTTATACCTTTGCTGTTTCATTTTAGTAAGGTCGATTTAACGATAGATCATTCGAATAAGATCGTGTAAACAAGCTGATAGATACCGGTTAATGAAGTTTGTGGGCGTGGAATAGCCTAACTGCAGACGGGATCTGATGACCTTTTCCTGAACAGTCACCATCCTCGAGCTTCTGGAACTCTGGTGCACCCTGGTGGTCCTTATCACTTGATAACAGTGGTGCCGCGTTTGGCCGGACACCTTGTCGTTTCTGGGTTCGATCATGGTGAACATGATTGCTTTCACTGATCACCGTTGAATCGATCACTATCACCGGACGCAGTCTCACTGTTTTCACTCGCGGTATCGTGGTTCATTTTCGTCACGATGAATGAATCTGTTTACATCTGCTTATCACAGTACTCTTTGGTTCGTCGGGCAATGTCGGATGCGTCTTACTATCCGAGATACATTTCGGTACCCAATAGACCTGAATATGGAGAGGTAAAGACATTTAGATTCAGCATTTTAACCCTTCGGGTGCTGCGACGTTTATCGGTTATGGGGCGTGCGTGGAACGCCCAAAGGCGTGCTACGGGCACGGTTAACGAATATAACTTTGAGAGTTCCGCACAGACCATGCAGCAACCCTCAAACTTCAAACCTCAACACCTGAAGGATCAAGGATTATTTCTTCGATAAATGGAGAAGCTTTCTAGCAAAGTAAAATGTCCAGCAATTTTATCATGTATAATAATTAATGCATACGTTAATTATAACACACTTTTCTGACATCAGAGAACGTGACCGCGATTCTTTTTATACAAACTAGATCTTTTCCAGCCCAACGATCGACTCGCTGATAAAATGCAAACGCCTAACAGCGGTTATCGATGAAATTTAATTTAATGCCCGCGAGTTAACAGCGATGAAAGTCGAGGTTGTTTAAAGCGCGATCTAATTTTTTTAACAGCGCGTTAGTTAGCCTGATATGATCGACGATTTATTTACGCTCGCGCGTTTTTCCAGCTCGATCGACGCGACGGTTCGATACGGACAGCCGATACGCGGTACGTTTTCACTCGTTCCTCTTTTCCGGTTAATTGACAATCGATCGCAACTTTCTAATGACACGCGATCTGATATGCAACAGCACGAACCGAGCCAAATACGTGCGACACTCTCAAAATGGAGGGGCCCGTAACCGCAGGAAACGAAACTCTTTTCTTTTTTATTGCTTCACTATTGCTTCTTTAAGTAACCGTTATACATATATTGTTATTCAATGGGAGAAGCACTGTGACCGTCGCCAGCACAGTTTCTCGAACTTTTCGTGTAACTCGATGGGGGGAACAATTTTAGGTGGCCATTTTTTAATCAGTTTTATTCGAGACAAAATTAATTTATTTTTTCCTTGTAAAAATAATTATATTTCCTCGTAATTTCTCGCATAGTATATCATGTATATTTCATGTTGCTATAATAACTGAAACATCGTGTAATTTTAAAGGGAGATTTTGCAACGCTTTTGTTGTGTCAAATCGAAACAATTGACTGCAACAGGACATCGAGAGGCACGACTATCTGTAATTAATTGTTATTTTCGAAACCACGAGCAACGAGGGAATTACAGTCCCTTTTATCTAGGGAACTTAAACACTGGCGGCGCCACAAAAACATTTCCGCGCGTAATTAGTCCGCGGTTATGATACTTAATTGCATTCGACGCTTCGATAATTACGATCTCTTTATTACATGCCGCGTGTTTGTTATTAAATATTATAATTATCATCGTACAGTAAACATTTTGTTATAATATTTCTGTAATTATTATTATTATTATTATTATTATTATATGGCTCTATTACGCAAATTTAATTATAAAAATGTGTAATAGATAGGATGAGGCTAAATATATAGTTATTGAAACCTAATCCTAATTATATTTTTACAAGAATAATATCCGCCCCATATTGTAATATGAATTTTTGTCGATACTGGTAGATATCGAACGAAAAAAAAAGGATACAAAATCGTTCGCTGGTAATTAGTTTATGCTCGTGTAACTAGAACGTGTCAGTGGATACCGTTTGTTCTTCTTTAGCTCGGCTGTATCGGGGACTCACGTACGAAAAAGCTTCGGAATAACGATGAGTAGCAATCGTTCGCGTCCAAGAATTCTCGCGTGTTTTCAGCACTTAACAATCGATAAAAATAGTGTTGCCCAATTTCGAGAAAAGCAATACATCGGATTTTCGAAGCACGTTGCAGCATATCTAAACTTTTCCCCGACAATTCGGCCTCCATTTTTACTCAAGAATATTTGGTTCGAGCTTAGACGACTATAAATAAAAAATACATTCTTTTTTCAGTGAAAATTTCAAGTATTCCTACATAATTTGTAAAATAAATTTATATTTGTAGGCGAGAAAAATATGTAATTATTTATTCGTCAGATACGAAAGTTAGTTGCTCCGGGGAATATATTTACAAGATAGTAAATATTTAATTTATATTCCACGGAGAAACCGAGTCTTCTAGTTTCTCTTCTCTGTTATCTGTTATTTAAATATTATCTAAATTTGCTTCTAGCTTAACGAAGAATCTCAAAGAAGAAACTAGCACGCTAATGGAAATATAAATATTTCTGCGGCTGAAATATCGCGAGAAGAAAGTTGAAAAGTGCTTTTATAGATTTATTGTGCACTCTTAATCTGCTTATCTGAAGTTAGTTGAGACTCGAGTGACATTTAAAAATTGATAAAAATATAACTGGGGTCGTCTTACACACGTCTTGTCTTTTGCCGCAATTAATTTTAAGCTGACCCTTTAATTCCCTCCGTAGCTATAAATTTGAAATTGAGCATACTTTTTTATTCGACTTTTTAATCTTGATAATTTTGTCGTTGCAACGGTGAATTGGTAGAAACGATGCTCCCGTTAAAGAACACTGACCGTTAAAGTGTTAACCGACTTGTACGTTTTGATCGTTAATCATGCACCGTTGCTCGAAAAATCAGGTTTCATTGTTGTAGAACAATTTAAAAAAACGGAGCAACTTTTTAACGGTTCTTTAAAAAAACACGAATGAATGCATCGTGTTTCGTAAATAATCGTAGCAAATATTCGATTCAATAGCGTGGAAATATTTTTAATCGAACGAAAATAATAATGCTGAATCATTTTTCAATATAGAATAAAAATTGAGATTATGCAAAGGAAGATTACGCGATGGAGGCTCGTATTATACAATTCGGTGTGAATTATCTCTATTTTAACCTAACTTTCTTCGCACACATCTGGTCGTGGATCTACGACACCCATCACTTTCATACTCCTCTGGAACATGAACAGATGAGTGCAGGGGAGAGCTAGGTTAATATAAAAAGTTATAATTCACGATGAATTATCCAACACAGATTTCCATTACGCAATCATCCTTAATATCGCTTCTTTTCGACTGAAATATTTCCATATTATCAGATAAAATATCTATTTTATGTTCACATGGTAGATGGGTGCATTTTTCATACGGAAACCAATAAAAAATTTCTTTGTCGAGGTAACATTCTTGCCAATTACTCTAACAGAATTATTTCTATGAGATCATGCTAAAAAATTTCAATACCTGTAACACTATATTTGATTAGAACGATCCTCTAAATCAAGACAAAATTATTACCTCCCAAGGTCAGTTCTATTAGAGCAATTGTCAAGTACACTACGATGTAGAATTTTTAAAATCCTTTTCCCCGAGTAACAAATTTTCACAGAAGAATTATTTCATTTTTCGCTTTCCACTTGTTTCTGTGTAAAAAATCACCCAATTTCCAAATTTCCTTTCATCATTAATCAATTTGCACGTTTATACGACGGAATAACTATTAATATTGTTGGGGGGGGGGGGAGAAATCCACTGGTCCTTTTGCAAGAAACTTTATCTACGTTCCGCGTAACACCTTTGGTCGTCGAAATCGCGATCGCGATCGGTATTCGAGCGCTCGAGGAACGATATTTCTCGCGGACGTAGCTCGATAATGCTTGTCGAAGCTCGGACGGCGATATCCATCGCGATACGAAGGAAATAACGAGGGAAATACCTCGACATATCGCCGCACACGTTGATTCGCTAGCGTCAAGCACGGTACTGTTTGCCGTTAGCTTCGATACCATAATGGAACTGTCAAAGTCAAACGAAAGGTGGAGCAGAGGCCTCCCACCGGTGACTTCGACGCGTGTATAGCGCGGTGCTCCTGCCGGCGTTCTACCGTTCGAGAATAGAGGTCAATTTACACAGTAGGAATTTCCGACGTTCGTCGCAGAAATTGAGCTTTGAATTTTTTACCTCCAAACTCCACGGCCAGCATTCCAATTTAACACAATTTTTTTTTTTTATGCCTCAGGGAAATTAAATCCCCAGCTTTGTTAACCCTACTACGATCTTACCCGACATTTTTCTCCCACCACAGCTTTATTTAGTAACTTTTACTATCATCGGAAAATGTATCGAAATTATTAGGATACACTTACGTTCCATTTAACGTTGTATAAAACTCCCATTGTTATCGATGAAATGTATTAATAATAAAAATAGTTACTTAAGGTCTTCTGGACAATTTAAAGAGTAAAGATTGTCACTATCGGAGGGAAGAAATCGCAATGGAGGTCGTCGATAATAATTAGTTTATGGAAAACGTCTGGTTCGAAAATACAGATTTTTACAGCCGTGTAAAAGGCAACTGAACCGAGGATAGAAAAATTATCATTCCGGTAACCGGTGCTGCACTTTCACGTATGGTAATGGTTCGCGATAACGATTTCGCGTTTACGCGAAAGGGCGTCTCGACAAATTGCCCGTTTCGACACCGAACTCACATTTTTAAAGGCGTCGTCTCGCGTGAGATTGATAAACCTGCACATATGTCGCTTGGATATTCCACAATCTGTCGCCTAACCTCAAAAAAAAAATTTTATAACCACGAAAATTAAAGAGAATATTATTATGAAAACTATTCCTCCGAATTAAATAACTGGAAGCAATTTATCTTATTAAACAAGAACTCTGGACTTGGTACTATGTTGATGCTTGACATCCTTTTATAGTCTAGTTACTTTCAGCTAGTGTAAGATGGCAGCTAATAGCTAATCAATAGACCTAAATGATAGTCTGATCTTAGACTCACGGATCTTATTAAATTTCTAGTATTTTTTTTTATAATAGAATCAAACGATGAATTCTAACTGTGCTTAAAAAATTAAATTCCCTAGACTCGAATCGACGTAGGACCTCGTAATCCTTTCTTGGTCCTCATAAACAGTGTCAGACGACAGCCAATAACTAGGCTACGGGCCAATCTCATTAAACCTGTATAGCTATACTAATTTTCCCTTCGTTCGAGTTAGGAACAACTCTTCCAAGTACCCATCATCGCGCCAGCGTAATTACGTTACGTACACTAGCGTACGTAGCCGGGGCGCAGAGATGTTCAA